AAAATAATAAACGAGTTAAAAATTCGGTAAATCATGAAAAATACAGATTCAACTTTATATCATTAGCAGCAAGTTAGATAAACAGTATAATCAGATTTAAAATCTCTAATTTGGTTTTAAAAAATTTCTAATCTTAGATTTCATATATTATATTTAAAAAAATGACACAATTGATAGAAATTCTCAGAAAATATACACTAATCCTAAAAAAATTAGCTACTTTTAATACTAAAATAAATTTTATAATTTATTAAACTAGAAGAGTCGGGAGCATTTACTTTTAGCCTCACGCTATTATGAAAGAGCTGGGAGTATTTATTAAATTATAATCTTATTAGCTTAGGACTTTAATAAAATTTTTGAGATTAATATTTAATTAATATAATTTTATTAATTAATGATATACATAGTTTAAAATCAATCTTTCGCACGAACAACTTGGCTTTGATACCACTGTTGGGAAGTCTAAGGGCGACATGAAAAGTGCAGCGGAAAAAAAGAAAACAAAAACCTCAAGCTTCCCAAAAAGATGTTCGTCGTCATACGAAGATTGATGCGTAAAAATTTATAAAACTTAAATCCACGTGTGAGATAGTGTTTACATAGGAAGATCGTATATCCCTGAATTCCTATAGATCTGTGGGATTTGATGAAAGAGTTTAAATGTTCTCCTCTCTAACGATGATCCACATAATAAGGCTGCGACGACGCTCCTCAAATCGCTACCCAAATCTCCACACCTATTATCTAAGGAGGAAAAGAGGGCATGAGAATAAGATATGGCAACCAGGAAGCCTCACCATATTGACCTTTGGTTCCCTCCTATTTATAGAGGTCCTTAGTTAACTTAACCTAATGAATCTTACCCTATTAAGTATTGAATCTCTATCCAATTACCCAAAACTTTTAGATTAGTGAGTCTCTACCCAATAATATTTTATTAGCTCTTATTGAATCTCATCCATGAGATCCAATAATTTAAGGGCTTATTGGAAATCCAATAAGTTTGAGTATCGGGCCAAGAAGAGCAGATATTACGCCAAGAAAATCAGAGTTGTGGAGGTCAACTGACCGATTGGGTAATAGGCTGCAAGAGAGGTCAATGCGTCGAACAATCGGACGAGACGTCGATGAACCAATGACGTGCCGGACAACATCTGATTAGCTTAGTATTAATTATCTAGATCGAAGTAGGTTTTATGTGTGTAGGATTAACTATGATAATAAGGCATAAAGCAAAATGAAGTCTCAGAATGAAGGATACGATTTTGTTGGGAGTTCGATAGTTCGTCGGAAGTCCGGATATCCATCAGAAGTTCTGATGAAATTAAACAAGAAGTCCAGGAGCTTGCCAAAGAAGCTCATCGGGACTCGCCAAAAAGATCATCATGAAGTCCAGAAGCTTGCCGGGAGTCCGTTGGAACATTGCCGAGAGATCGCCGGAAGCTTGCCGGAAGAAACCTAGACTTACGGACTTGTTTAGCTTAGTAAATGTCTTAGATTTCGTAGTTAGTATATAACTGGTATTGGAATTGAGCCAACCCAATTAGGGGTCAGTTGGGCCTATGTATGGACTGTGTCGGACCCAATGAAATGCCCAAACAATGACCCAACAGGTAGCATCGTCGTGGCATCGTCTCCGAGACTGTGTCAGGCGGTGGTACCACCCAGAGACAATCTCTGAGAGGCTATCAGGCGATGGTACCACCCAATGTTAGTGTCAGTGTTAGACTGACACTGATGGTGGTATCACTTGTACTCGAGAGACTCAGGATGAGACATTTTTAGGCTCCAAGTTTGAATCAACTTGAAGCTTATAAATACCCCTCTCATCCCTAGTTAAAGAACACACAACTAAGAGCAAAAAAGTAAAGAAAACTTTGTTTTAATTGTGTGTGAACTCCTCTCAAAGTTCTAAGTGTTAGAATAGTTTAAGAGAGGAGTAAGTGGGGGTGCAAATGTTATCTCCTAAACCCGGTAAAAAGAGAAAGAGTTGTAAAAGGTAGTTGGTCTTCGTCTATTGAAGGAAGACTAATAGTGGATGTCGGTGGCCTTGACAGAAGAGGAATTGGTGGAGTGGATGTAGGTCACGACGACCGAACTACTATAAAAATCTGGCTTGCTTTTCTTTTGTGTAATTTACCTTACTACAAACCTCCTTACTTCCTTACTACTTTCGATATGTTTACAAACACACTATCAAGTTTAAGCATATTTCCGAAATTGGTTTTCAATGTATGAAAGAATTTTCGAAACCGACGTTTTTATCCGCTGCACTAATTCACACTCCCCCCCTCTTAGTGTTGACTTGTTTCTAACAGTACGTACATCCGACACTTTGTTCGAACTTTCGACCCATCATCCTCTCCTTTGATGTATTACTTGATCTATCGGCATGTTGACCTCCCATAATATCCGATCTTCTTGATGCAATATTCGATTCTTTTGGCCCCATGCTTGAACTTATGGTATGAAATCTATCTTCCAGCACGTCGACCAATCCTCTGACCGAACATTCAATCTTCTAACATGATGTTCTCCGGCCCAACGTCTGATTCTCCTTCTTCAATCAATTTGTCTTTCCATGATCGAAGTTAGTCATACGTCACTTAAATACTTATTAGATCATAACTTTATCAATTGATTTCATCATCAAAATTTGAGATTCAACATAAATAATTTTTAAAATTTTAGAATCCGAATCCAATTGTGTAAAATTATTTTTAAATAAATTTTATTTATTTACTTTTTGATTTTATATCTTTTTGTATCTTACCGATTAAAGTAGGAGAATGTTAGATTATGTAGACATATTTAATTAGGTAAGATATATTATGGATATGATTAAATTTTGATTATGATTATTGACTAATAGAAAGAAAGTTCAATTAAGATTCATTATGAGACGCCCTTGATGGGAGGAACTCTTTTAATTACTTATCATAGACTCTTTGCTCTTGCCTATAAATAGACAGGATCTCCTAGGGATACATCACGAGAACATAACAATATAAGAGTGCGTGATATAGTAGAGAGATTACAGTTCTTCTCTTCATCTCACTTTAGTCACGTGAACCATTCAATGAGATATTATAGATCTTCTCTCATATTCTTATGTTTCTGAATCCATAAATTATAGTAGTTGTGTAAAAGGATATGAGGAGAGGAGAAGGTAAGTCTAGTTCTTCTTGTAGATTGACATCTCAGATCCGACACGATATGTTTATAGATCAGATAAATTTTATTTTTCTCAATAATAATAAAAGATATGTATCATAATATTTTTTAGACCTATTGTTATTTCGTATTATAGATTACATAATTATATATTTTATATTAACAATAGGAACTAAATTATATAAAGAATAAAAAAAATTAATTATATCCCATCGCTTTCCCATTGCCTTTGTCCTTGTAATTGCGTCTCTCTTGTATAAGAGAATCTGTGAGATATCATCCCACAGATTCCTGGCATGAGATCGGGTGGGAGCGTGTGGGACAGACAGAACGAAAGGGAGAAAAAAAATAAGAAAGTAAAAAGATAAAGAAAAGAAAACTTCACAATACAATGTGAATGGAATTAGAAATAAGATTTTATAAATGATGATTTGGAGAATGAAATATATATATATATATATATATATATATATATATATATATATATAATAACTTTCGGGGTTCATAGTTAAAAGGTAAGAAAAATTTACTGAAAAAAATTATATGAATTCTTAGTTAAAATAACAAAAGTCATACTATTAGAAAAGACCTGGGATCACTAAATATATTTTTTAGTATGATAATTACAAATGACAAGATAATGATAAAATTTGATTGTCGTACGAGAGATATATACGAAAGCTTCTCGACAAATTAAATATGATTAAGTCAAAACCAATTTGTTATCTACTTTAGGTCATTTCAAGTCAAGCTCTAAATAATGTCATTGAAAGATAAAACAAATATGGATATAGTATCTTATGTCAAAGCAATTGATAGTTTCATATATATATTGTGATGTGTACAAGCAATGGATAGAGTATCTTATGTTTAGGTCATCCATTACTTGGACAGTTGGTGTGGTCAATCCATTTCTCTTAAATCCTGAAAAGAAATAATAGACAATAGCTAAGTAGATTTTTAAGTATCTAAAAAGTATTTTTTATTTAAGTTTATTCTTTAGTATCGAAAAATATACGTTAGTTGGCTACACAAATACAAATATGACTTTGATATTGATTCAAGAAAATCTATACTTTGTTATAAGAAAAACGTTTGAAGGATAATAATTTTTGGCAATCAAAACTATCAAAATATATTAATTTAATTTCTACTAGGGTTAAATATATTACTGTAAGAGATATTCATAAAGAACTCTTATGGACAAAAAAAGGTACAGAAATTTATTCTATATGATAGCTAAAGTACATTAGATTTGAGATATACTAGAGATGTTTCAGTCATATTGTCATAACTTTTTGATATATCAATTTAGACATCATCCATTATAAGTTGATTGGTGTTGACATTGGTAATTTCTTTTCCTATTTTTTTGATGTCTCTATTGTGGAGGTTATTTTTCTCCCTAGTTCATGTTGAAATCCATCTGAACATTTTATATTAATTGCATCCCAATGATGAACAGATAAAAACAAAAGCAGTAAGCCTATGCATGCATTCAGAAGATGGTTTTGGCTACGACTTGTCAAGATGATTAATGAATCTCGGCTTGTTACTTGGTCGCTTAGATCCTTTTCATAGCCGATATTAACATGTCGGCTGCAAAGGTCAATATGGTTAGATTCACGTTTGTCACGAGGTCAATATGGGTCGCAGTCTTGGATTCCTCACCAAGAGCTCTCTGAACTCAACCATATCTAATTAACTTATGTGCGATGTTGGTGGAGCCACCACAAACAGGTTAGGTAGCCACCGTTCCCTCGAGAGAAGAGAATGGTAGTGGAACATCTCGTTTGACATTTGTGGATTGTTTATTGTGGTCTACATTTGGTCCACCTAACCGTAGCAGCAGTAGCCATTGATGACTGATCCATTGGCTCCCCGGTGGAAGATCCCCTCCATCTCCTTGGGTCTGCTTGACGAGGCATGGCTGGAGAAGAGGAAGAAGGGAGCTCCCCTTTGCTGTTGAAGCTTCCAAAAGCATCAGAGGAGCAGGAAGAGCATGTGAACAGAAGTGGTGACATGACTTCTCTCGTCTCTTCCTTTTCTTCTTTTCTTCCCAGTCTTCCGTTTAACTGTTGTTCTTGAGAGATTGGATTTCTTAGAAGGGGGCTTCGATCACCTGTAGCCATCATGCTCTGTTCGAATCGCTTCATTTTTTCCTGGGTGGCTCTTTCTACAAGTCCTTTTGATTCTACTCCTTCAAACACAGGAATATTGATCTGTATGGTGGATTCTTGTTTCATCTCTCTGTGTTTGTGAAGGCACCATATGGACAGCCATCGCCCACATAATAACAGCAGTGATCGGCGCCGGAGTTCTCTCTCTGGCGTGGAGCATGGCTCAACTGGGTTGGATCGCTGGCCCCATAGTCATGGTGCTCTTTGCTGCAGTCACTCTGATCCAATCAACGCTGCTCGCGGATTGCTACAGAACACCCGACCCTGAGGATGGACATCTCAGGAACCGCCACTACATGGATGCTGTGAGGCTTTTCTTGGGTAAGAAATCAAAACCATTCTACGTTTCGTTCTGATGCGCAAAATGCAGTCAGACTAAGGAAATAAAATCCATCTCATTTCGCGTCACTTCATCATAAAAAGATAAACACTATATATCATTGTCACGTCACGTCACGTCACGTCACGTCACGTCACGTCACTTATTTTATGCTTTTTTAGTTCACACGTCAAGTAAATATTACATCACCATCGAACAAAAAGCACACATTGATGTCGCATCTCACAGAGGCAAAAAAAGTTGGTGCATCTGATTTGGTGAAAAAAACAGAAGATAAAAAAGATTATTTCTTTATTTCTTGATTACTTATGACATGATTCACTTATGTATAGTACAATCGATTACTTTCCTAAACGTAAGTCTCAAGTTGGACCTCAAGTTTGGTTTAGAGAAGACAAAGCAATTCTCTTTGCAAGTCATTATCATGCTTCCCCATCCTCTTTCTTCTCTATTCACTTACCTAATATTGACCCTGTTTTGTGCTAAACTCATCTTAGTTCGTCCTCGTCATGCAAGCACATGTAATCAATATAGAGAACTGGTCATAATTGATCTCAGTACGTGTCTTATAAACTGGGTGCAAAAAGGAAACATTGATGAAATAAGTGTATGCAGGTGAGAGAAGTGTTTGGATTTGTGGGTTCCTTCAGCAACTAAGCTTGTACGGTGCAGGGTTAGCCTACACCATCACAGCTGCCACCAGCATGAGGTACACTTTTACTCTCGACCTTGTCTGCTCATATTTTTCTGAACAGGTAGTAGTGCCGAAGCCGAATTCCACAATAAACTAATGCCACCTTCACTTGAGAGATTCTCTGTTGCTACTATTTCTGTGGGTGCTGTCAATGGTGCTGCACTAACGATTTCAAGGACACAAAAGTTCTGGCGGATGACTAGATCACCACTGTGTCTGCCACATTCTTTAGCTACCATAAATGCTCTAGTGTTCTGTTTCTTTCCAGTATCTCAAGGAATGAACTCCTCTGAGACTCCATGGCAAGAGTTTTGAAGTCATAAAAGCGTCGAGTACGTGTATGTGTTATGTGATAATTGAGGCTACATTACCATGCTGCAGTCTGTGTGCCTGCACGAAGGACGATGGACAAATTTTCCAGTCCTTTTTCTTTTTTCATTATTAGGCTTTATGCTATTTTTCTTCTTATGCAACTCAATCTGTTTCCATTTGGTGTCTGTGCAGGGCCATTCAGAAATCAGATTGTTATCATAGAGAAGGCCGAAATGCTGCATGCTCATATGGAGAGAGCTTTTACATGCTGCTGTTTGGAGTTGTTCAGATAGTTTTCTCCCAGATACCTGACTTCCATGAAATGGCATGGCTCTCTATTTTTGCAGCCATCATGTCCTTCAGCTACTCTTTCATTGGATTCGCACTTGGCCTGGCCAAAGTGATTGGTATCCCTTTCTTCATTCTTTTTTCTTCTTTCATTTCTGTTTACTTCATGATCTATCGTAAAAACACACTACTTTGGGGTCATTAAAGACTAAATAACTCTCAAGAGTGTCTGTGCATAGAGGAAAATGCCATGGCAGTGTCATCATACAAAGTATTGCATAATACGAACAGTAAGATATTAATTAGATCACAGATCTAGCTTCAGCCTCATGGTGCATGCCAACCCTCGTTGAATGATCACTGACGAGTGAGTTCCTGTGCCACTCTGATCCGCAGGAGATGGAACAATAAAAGGTGGGATCGGAGGCATTCCCATGGCATCTACAGCACAGAAAGTGTGGCGGGTTTCTCAAGCGCTGGGAGACATAGCATTTGCCTACCCATACTCGATTATTCTCTTTGAAATAGAGGTGACAGTCATTTCCCACCTTCATTGCTTGATTCTGTGAGTCATAAATACACGCTACTATCCGAAACATTACTGTTCCAAGGATACACTGAAATCGCCGCCGCCGGAGAACCAAACGATGAAGAAAGCATCCATGACCTCCATTTTTATCACCACATCCTTCTACCTCTGCTGCGGCTGTTTCGGCTACGCCGCCTTCGGCAATGACACTCCGGGAAACCTCTTGACAGGATTTGGATTTTACGAACCCTACTGGCTCATCGACTTCGCCAATGCTTGTATTGTCCTCCACCTCGTGGGAGGCTATCAGGTGATCATCTCTCTTCTTCGCCGGAGCTTAGATTATTAGCGTTATCCATCTGCTGACGAAGCTTCTGCTTTGGTTTTGTTAGGTTTACTGCCAGCCAGTGTTCTGTTTCGTGGAGAGATTGGCTGCAGGGAGGTTCCCCAACAGTGGGTTCGTGAACAAGCTGTACACGATCCGGTTGCCATTGTTGCCACCGTGCAGAACGAATCTGTTCAGGCTGTGCTTTAGAACAGTGTACGTGGCGACCACAACAGGCCTCGCCATGTTCTTTCCCTACTTCAATCAGGTGTTGGGACTGTTGGGAGCCTTCGGCTTCTGGCCCCTGGCCGTGTACTTCCCCGTGGAGATGTACCTTGTGCAAAAGAAGATAAGAGCTTGGACGAAGAAATGGGTTCTTCTTCAGATGTTCAGTGTTGTCTGCTTGCTTGTTAGCATATTTGCCTTCATTGGATCAGTTGTTGGAGTGATCAGTGAGAAGCTAAGCTAACCTTCTTCCCGCTCCTCCAAATGATCAGATTTCCTTTGTATATACGCCTATATATTATGCCTTTCAAGTGTAACATTCATAGGAAAGGAAACTCATTTAAAATTGGTGATAAACAAACAAAAGATAGCTAAGGCTGATTTATATTCATATTTATATTTATATATTTAAGATTGTTAACATTAAAGGGGGGTAGTCGATATGACACAAACCACCAGTCGATGTATTTGTCTCGAAACTAATGATTTGTTATTGTCTTCGCAGATAAAATCAAAAGCATAGACAGATGTAGGATCATGCGAATCCCAATAGAGCTTATGATATATCATGCTGCTCAACGAAACTACAGACCGACATTGTTTCTAATTCATCATTATCTCTGTGAAGAATAAGAAATTGTTGTTCTCTTTCTGGCGATGTCATCGGCAGCGTTTTGAGCGTCCGTCGAACAACCGGCCAACCCACTTCTACCAAAACCTACAAAGTAGAGATCATTCCTTCCCTTCCAGTGATTTGGAAACTTTTGTCTGGGATACCCTTCTTCGCCTATGAATGAATCAGCATCCTGCAGCAATGCCAGTAACATATGTTTTCAACACTTGCAAGTACTTACTGGAATAGTATATTTAACTTTATGTTCCAGCAAAATGTTAGCTTCTACTTTTGACAATCCCAATGGAATTAACTCTTAATAAATTAAATCAGGACATAATCAATCTTATGTGTGTGTAGAAATAAGTCGAATGAAGTTTCAAATCATCGATCATTGCACCTTTAACATATTAATCTTACGTTGTAAAATACATTGGATTAGGTTTCGAATCTATAATCTTTAGTAAGTAGATTTGGTAAATGAGCACCGGACCGACATCTTAGGTGTAAAGATTGAGATGTTGCTTATACTAACAAAAAAAAACATTATTATTGAAGTTTTAGGAAGATGAATATTCAAAAAAATAAAGGTGTTGGATACTTATGATTTTAGTTAGATTAGTTTCATAGAATCATTTGAAGATTGATTCAAGTTAGATTGAGGTTTTCAAACTAATTGAAACATAATATAAGACCGTGAAAAGTTATTATGGATTTTCATGACATATATTACAAAGTTATTATGTCTTTTTTTGGAGAATGTTGGATTTGTTGACTATATTAATAGAGATAACATAAATTTTTTTTTTTTACTATTGTTATACACTTTTCTCAAAGTTTAATTTGACAGAAAGTTGTTGGGAAATCAAATTTTGTAGTTAAATTAGATAGTTTTGAGAGTTCTAATAAAATTATGAATCCTAATTATAAATTAAGTTAAGACTTAACTTTTATAAAATGATTATTTATAAAGGTTAAAGATTATTGAGGAATGGAAATTAAGAATTTGCATTCTTTCTAATTATCACTTCTAAGAATTACCTAACCTTATTAGCATTTTGGGACAAAATCTTGAACATAGAGATGAAACGTAGTCCTTCCAACTAAAAAGCTGCAGTCGGACTGCATGTTTACCTGTAGCCATTTCCCGGGATTGGTTCTGAAGCCGGTGGCAAAGACTATAGCATCGAAATGGTATGATTTGCCATCTTCGAACTCAACCTCATTTCCTCTGATGTTGGTTACGCCCTTCACCACCTTTACATCGTCAAAAACAACACATACATTTAGCTGATACACGTTATTAGACGAGGAGGAGAGAGGAGAGATGTATTCTCGTAAAGCTCATCCAAATGTTTGTGTTTACCTCGATCTCTCCCGTCTTGATCTTTTCGATGGTCCCGACGTCGATAACGGATGACCTTCCGGTGACGGCCTTGAGGCGCATCGGCCCCAAGCTTGGTCTAACAATGCCGTACGTGGACAAGTCTCCGTACTTCAACTTGGACAGAAGGACAACTAATGCATCCACCACACTTACAGGGAGATAACCCAGCATGACCATCGCCATATGTATCATCTCCTTGGTCACCACATGAAGCTGCGCATGAGTTCCACATGTTATTAATGCATGCCGTCTAGATCTTTGCATATACAACGAGATGACGATGTGTGATACCGGGCTGTTGATGACTATGGAAGTCCTCGCTTCGTGTTCCGCCAGATCATAAGCTATCTCCATCCCGGAATTGCCACTTCCGACGACGAGGACTTTCTTGCTGGTGTAGGGTCTGCCCGACTTGTAGGACGACGAGTGGAGGATTTTCCCGGAGAAGCTCTGCAGGCCGGGGAGGTCCGGGATGAACCCTTCGGAGTTCTCGCCGGAAGCCACCACCAAGAACCGACTCCTGTACTCCTCGACCTGATCGGTCAGCGCGTTCCTCGCCATGACGCGCCAGGTCTTGCTGGCTTCGTCGTAGGAGGCGAGCTCGACGTGAGTGGAGTAAACGGGGTTGATGTTGAAACGTTCGACGTAAGCGTCCAAGTACTGGATGAACTGATTCTTGGGGACGAAGGTCGGGGCGTTTCTGGGGATCGGCATGTGCGGCAGCTCGCAGAACCGCTTGGCCAAATGAAGCTTCACACGATCGTAGGTCCGAAGCTTCCACAGCGACGCACTGCAGGCCTCCCTCTCGAGCACCACGTAGGGAATAGAGAGAACACTGAGGCATGCAGCGGTGGCCAAACCGGAAGGCCCGGCACCGACGATCACTACTTCAGTCTTCATTGGCCAACAGGTAGAGGAGACGGCGAAGCATGCAGTGAGTGACGAGGTCGATCGATTGCCTCGTTGATTTATATCAATTTCTTTCGCCAAGCGATTCACACTGTATTCCATTTTGACGTTCAAAAACAATGTTAAAGATACGCTCCATTAATTATTTGTTACCAAAACAAGCTGAATTATTCACTTGAGCTCTCATTTCTTTACCTAATCGAGCCAATCTTCAATTCTCCGTCCACTATTGAAAGATTCGTAGAAAATAGTCTTACTTTCCGTTATCTTGTCACTGTATAATTGGAAGCTTAGCGTCGAGCATGTAACTAAATTCTACTTTTACCGGTTACATGCATTTGGGAAGACAATGAAAGGGGGGAGTGTTTTTAGAGGCGCCTTTAAACCGAGCATATCTAACGAATTAGCCCAACGAACAATGAGGTGAAAGCACGACTAGAAATGTAAAGAAGTAATAAAGGAATTCTCGAGTGGACAAGATAGTGTGGTTTTTGGTTCAACGAACAAAAGCAATATAGGTCCATTTTTATTGTCATTCTTCCAATATATAAAAACCTTTGCCCATTTTTTGACATATAAAAATCTTTGTAATTTCCATCTAAAATAATTTTAAGAAATCTAAAGACCTATAATAAACTTTACTTAAGGTTGGTGGAGATTAAACTAATTGAACCTTAACTATAATATTTTGTAACACAGTTATAATGGTTGCAATATCTTGATTCGGTAATCAAGAATAGTGTGAATCCATTTAAAACATTATAGCTGAAATTAATATAGCAAATATTTCCAACCAATTACGACTTGACATTGTAAAGCCCACCCAATCAACATATAATCATTATTTTAATGGGAAAGCATTCCTTAAAACATCTTCATGAGTTTAATGAAAGAATATTCCTTAAAATATCTTCATTTTAGGGATGGGAACTTTTCAAGTATGTGAACTTCTTTGTCAAGTTATGGGTCTATCCAAAAGAACAAAATCGTGCATAAATGATGACTTATTTGTATAGATACGGGTTGGACCCAAGCGCAAGTACTACACTACATAGGTTAAGTCCCACAATTAATTGAGATGATCATAAACTCAAGTATAGAGGTGAATCCAATTTGGGTATCATGTGATTCTAAACTCATCAAACTAATGAGCCAACTCCTCATCTTTAAGATTGTTAAACTTAGCGGCACAATCCACCAATGAATACGTATCTGTATCTAAATTAATGATTTATTGGCTTTGCACATAAAATCGAAAACACAATCACATTTTAACTTCTTAGGGTCATGCGAATATCAACAAAGACTATGATATCATACGAAACAAAAGATCGACATTGTTTCTTATTCAGCAGTATCTCTGCCAAAACTAAAAAAGTGTTCTCTTGTTGGAGGTGTCTAAGAAACTGTTCTCTTTTTGGAGATGTCTAAGAAACTGTTCTCTTTTTTGCGATGTCATTGGCAGTGTTTAGAGCGTCCATTGAACATGCGGGCAACCCACTTCTGGCAAAACCTACAAAATAGAGATCGTTCCTTCCCTTCCAGTGATTCGGAAACTTTTCTCTAGGATACCCTTCTTCGTCCAGGAATGAATCAGCATCCTGCAGCAATGCGAGTAACATATGTTTTCAGCACTCCCAAGTAATGGAATAGTAAATTTAATTTAATGTTCTATCAAATTGTTAGTTTCTAGTTTTGACAATCCTAATGGAACTAAGTATTAATAAATTAAATCAGCACATAATCTCTCTCTCTCTCTCTCTCTCTCTCTCTCTCTCTCTCTCACACACACACACACACACACACACACACAC